CTGTTTTTTCTTTACAGCTTTTCTATAAAACTATTCTAAAACTAAAAGTTTATTTTATATATTTAAACAAATAAATTTTAAGGTTCAGCTTAACACTAGACACAGATAAGGTTTTTTGGAATCATTTTATTCCTGATTCTTAAGGAGGTGGCTGAAGTCATGGTTTCACTGTAAAAAAGGATAGGAAACAGGGACTTCCCTGGTGGTCCAGTGGTTAAGAATCCTCCTTCCAATGCAGGGAACGTGGGTTCCATCCCTGGTTGGGGAACTAAGATCCCACTTGCCGAGGGGCAACTAAGCCCACGTGCTACAGCTACTGAGCCCACGTGCCGCAGCTACTGAGCCGTGTGCCACAACTAGAGAGCCCGTGCACCACAACTACTGAGCCCGTGCGCCTCAACTACTGAGTCCACACACTGCAACTACTGAGCTCATGCGCCACAACTAGAGAGACCACACGCTGCAACTAGAGAGCCCATGTGGTCTGGAGCCCAAGTCCCACAACGAGAGAGAAGCCCATGCACTGCACTGAAGAGCCTGTGTGCTGCAATGAAAGATCCCGCGTGCCACAATGAAGATCCCACGTGCTGCAACTAAGACCCTGACACAGCCAAATAAATAAATTAAAAAAAAAAAAAAGGATAAGAAACAGGAGAGACAGGTGTGGATAAAGGCAAGCAGACTCCTGGACAGGTAGAGAAGGGTGCCATTGGAACAATGGAAGGGTCTCAGAGACAGGCAAAGAGACCCATATATCATCTCACCTATTTTTGAAAACTCATACCTAGGCTGAACATATTAGAAGAAGTAGTTGAGCACTGGCTTAAAAAAAGGAGTGAAAAGAAGGTAGGTAGGTAAGAAGGAAGGAAGGGAGGGAGGGAGGGGGGAAGGAAGAGAGAGAGGGAGAGAGGGAAGAAAAGGAAGGGAGGGAGAAGGGATAGGAGGGAGAGTAGGAGGGAGGGAGGAAGAGAAAGAGGAAGAGAAACAGAATTTCCATTTTAAAAAATTCATCTTAAAACAACTTTCTGGAATGTTAGCAGTATTTCACAATGCAGTCATCTCATTTTGGCAGCTTGATTGATTTCCTGATTTCCAGGAAAACTGAGCTGTCATCTGGTTCCTACTTGGCGCTTTACCGACATGAATATGCAGTTCTCACAAAATGTGAAATGGCTGCTGAAGAAGTGAAATTTAATTCTTTCTGACGTATTGCTCCAAGCCCTCCACTGTCTCAAAGATAAAGAAACCCAGTGGAGAAACTTTCCTCCTCTCCCCATAAAAAAGAGAGTGAAGGTTCATTTCTTTGGGAGTTTTTCACATGAACTAAAGGTTCTGAGCCAGTCTGTTGGGTGGGAGCAGATGGGAGAAAGCACAGTGCATACCTACATGACTCAGCCAAAAGCTTGAGAGCAGCGGCCATGGGCCATGGCGTATATTTCCCAGTACTTCCAAGAGGATTGCCATCATCAGTGTGTTTTTGAGCACCTCCTGGTGCAAGAACTAACATTTACTGTGCACTCTGTATGCACTTACCCCTCACCAGTCCTGTGAGGTAGACCCTTCTATTACTCCATTTTAGAGAAAGAAAATGAAGCTCAGAGAAGTAAATACCCTGCCCTCAAACACATGGCGTGATGGTTAGTTTTATGTGTCAATTTGGATAGGCTGTGTGCCCAGTTGTATCCTTAAACACTAGTCTAGATGATGCTGGAAAGAAATTTTGTAGATGTGATTAACATTTACGATCAGTTGACTTTAAGTAAAGCAGATCACCCTCTATAATGTACGTGGACCTCATCCAATTAGTTGAAGGCCTTAAGAGCAAAAACTGAGGTTTCTTAGAAAAGAAGGAATCTGCCTCAAGATTGTCATATGTATGGAAATTCTGCCTGAATTTTCAGCTTACTAGCCTGCCCTACAGATTTCAGACTTGCCAACCACTCCCCACCCAGTCGCTGAGCCAGTTCCTTAAATCCATCCCCCTTCTCTCTCAACCCCAGGTCTCTTCAGATGGAAAGCTCACATTCTCAACTCCACACTCTCCTGCCTCCCAGACCCTGCATGAGAAGCTGCAGATACCAGGGTCATAATATAGGCTGTAGTATGAGTGACTGGGGCCAGGTCTCCTGAGGACCTATGAGGGAAGATTTAACATGAAGGAGACCAGGTGAGTGGAGAAAACTGCTGTTGAGAAGGAGGAAATGACAATGTCCGGAAGATGGGGTAATCAGGGAGGGAAGAGGATGTGGTAGAGAAAATAATTAAAAATAATAGTTAATGCTTGGTGAGCCCTTCCCATGTGCCAGGTACTCTTCTGAGTGCTTCCCTTATGTTAATTTCTTTAGTAGTATTATCCTTATAGATGGGGAAACTGAGGCCCAAGGTCACATGGCTGGTAAGTGGTAGAGCAGGAGGCAGTATGCCTCCAGAGCTCAACACTTACCACCTTAGTAAACCACATAGGGAAAGAAGAGGGTAAGACAGAGGTGCCACTCTTCTGACAGAAGATAAAAAGGAGAGGCTGGATTAAGCTAGAGTTTCTAAAGCCAAGGCTGTATCCTGCTTGGCTGGAGGAAATCCACCCACAGTCTTTATTGGGGTTCCTCCTTGGAATTATACAAAAGTTCTGGGATCTTATGGACCCCACAATACGAGGAGAGTTCCTCTGATCATCAGTCTGTACTTAAAAATACTGAGCTGCTGCGTCAATTAAGAATGGTGGGCTATCCATAGGAGAAACCCTGAATAATTTCAGCCAAGACCAGGAGAATTTGCTTACGGTCCAGCCTCCCTGAGCGTACCCAGCAGCTTCCTCGTGAGTTTTGCCAGGGTGTTAACAGGGAACTGGACATAGTCCAAAAGAATGTGAGCATTAATGGGCCTCTACCTCCTTCCGGTCAGGAGAAACTGCCTAGCTAAGCCACACCACTTCTCAAATGCACTTCCCTTCCTCACTCCCTCACCTTTTCCCCTCCCAGAGTCCTACCAAAATATTCTCAAGGGTGAGACCTTTAAGAAAACAGAGAGAAACAAGTGTGCTTCTGGGAGTTTCTTCCCTTGGCCAGTTAACACAAACCTGTCTCAAAGCCCTGCTACTTTTGTGTCCATGATGGTTGGGGGGAACAGGGACAGTAATGCAGGGAGAGAAGAGCACGCATTGACCTCAATGTGTGCTTGTGCCACCGTTGCAGTGGAAAGAACGGTGCAGTGGTAAATAGGAGACCTGGGCCCCAGTCTCTACTCTGGGCCCAAATGTCTTCATCAGTAAAATTGTTTAGAAGGAACGCTGTGGGGTGGGGTGGGAGGATTCCACCTAGTTGAAAACTAGATATAGAGGCCTCAGCAAATTCCCTAGCGAAATGCCCCAGTCAGACCCATTCCTACCTGGGCAGTAAGGTTGGGAAACACAGGGGAATGGTGGTTAGTATGTGTTATAGGCATCCAGGTGCAGATCTGGGCATTTCCAGCCTGGCTCCATGATCATACAAGGTGGGGGGTGGGGCACAGACGGCAGTACAATACGGGGGTTGGCTAAGACGTAGCAGAGGATTCCAAAAGTCACATTTTAGTATCTGGGACAAGCGTTTTTAACCGGGGTCCACAAACCATAGACTGTACACTGGAATTCAGAGGTCCATGAATTTGGATTGGAAAATATTACAACTTTTAAAGGCAGCAAACTACAGTTGCATTAGCTGGGCCAGTAGAAAGCAGTACTTTTCATTTCCCTTTACAGTTGCTGCAGATATCTTGAAACATCGTTTAAACTCATTTCTACTTCAGGTTTGCAGTAGTGTGTTGGGTTCACCCCCTTGATCCTGTTATTTAATGTGTTAATAAAGAAACCCATGTACACCAAACATTACACCCTTAAATATTTTCACAACTGTATTTCAACATAACTAGCTTCCTTTGTGATCCTGTGTATTTTATTTTATGCATAGGAAAATATTTTGAGAAGGGATCCACAGCACAAAAAAGGTCAGGAGCCCCCAGACAGGGCGGGGTGGGGCCTTGTTGACACTCTGGCCCAGAGTTAGCACGGCTGCCCCGCTGAGCACAGGCTCGCACAGGAGGAACCAGGTCAGAATCCCAGCGGGCACTGCTCCAGCTCCAGGAAATCTTGGGGTAGGGGTGTGAGGCATGACAGCGACATCTTCTTTAGCTTGGTAGAGTAGCCTTGTGCCTCTGCTGCCCATTGTGAATAAGGGGAAAATCACCAGCCTCTTACCTTAAATCACAGGGGGTTTAGAGAGAATGAGGACAGAAAATGTGGGGAAAAGAGGAAGAGATTCCTCCCTCCCCAGCTGTGGTTGTATCTCAGCTCAGGGACATGACTGTCCCACAGCCTCCTGGAGAACAAAAGCTATTTCAATGTGCCAGGTGCAAGTTGAGCCAAGCCCTCTTTCAAGCAAGCCTCCACCCTTGCAGGCACTGGGACATCTGAGCACACCGGGCTCTCCTTGCAAGGGCAGTTCCTCCATCTCTGCCTTTCCATGTGCTGCCCTTCACTGGGAGCAGTGCCACCCCCATTTCATGCCAGGCTAGCCCTTCCCCAAGTGACACAAATTGCCAGGCCCCAGCGATAGGTCCAGGCTGCCTTGGGAGAGGAGCTGTGCCTTTGTGCAAAGACACCCTTCATTTCACAAAGGAGGGAATCAAGGGCACGGTCGCTGTTACCTCTCTCCAGTTCCTGAGTCTGGCTTCCTTATCTCTGTCAAGACCTTTTGAGCTGCCCCACTGGCCACAGGGCAAAGCTCAACCCTGTCCACCAAGGGCCAGGGGCAAAAGACCTGCAGGCCAACTGTGAGAGTAACTGAGCCCAGAACCCCAAGCTCAGCCCCTTTCCCCCACCCAGCCTGAGAATGGACTCATTTCCTGTCACTCTGGCCAGGCGCTCACAGGGTAAGGCAGAACCCACGAACCCCTTCACACTGCTCAGCACCTTCACCTCCCTCTGGAGAAACTTCCCAAGTTTGAGATAATTGTAGAGAAGGCGCTGAGGTGACACACACAAGTTTAATTCTGGGTGGGGGATGGACTGGAGGACACTGAGGGATGATGGGGAGAGGCCTGGGAGTCTGAGAGCCTGGGATTTTCAGGGGAAAAACTCTTAAGGTACAGGCCAAGGCACCCACTTCTGCTTCCTGCTGGATTCTCTGCTGCCCTGGATGCCATGCTGGTCTGATCTGGGCAGAGAAACGACCAACAGGCCCCTGGGACATCATTCATTCATAGATGTTTGTTCCAATCAGGGGCTCACAGTGGGCAACGTGGAGGGAAAGCAGAACCGTACACACTGTAAATGCTGTTCATAGAGGGCCAGGGGCAGAGGGAGGAAGCTGCCCATTCTCTGATGGAGGGTGATGGAGAATGACTTCCTGGAGGGAGGCCTGAGGCAAAGTCTTGAGGGAATAAGGAGGAGAAAGAGGGAGGGACTTCTCCACAGAGGCTTTGAAAGAAGCCCAAGCTCCAGGCCTGCTTGGGGAAAAGCAGTATTGGGACCTGCATACTGGGCTGCACTAGGCAAAGAGGCTTCTGTGCATGCTGGCCATCAGGAGAAAGGGGGTCCTGCAGTTAAGCACACTTGGCAAGCTCTGGATTAAACAATGTTGAACAGTTCTCCTCACTGTAGGACTTGTCAGAACCTTTAACCTGTTAATGAGCCTCATGGTGTTGTAGCCCAGGGCTGGTGTTCCTTGGCAGGCCATGCTGGCATAGGGAAAACGGGAGGCAGTAGGAGTAGATGAGCTTAGAGAATGCAGGGGACTTTGAATACCAGGCCAAGAAGGCTAGACTTTCCTTGGGGCTACTGAGGAGTCTCAGAAGACGATTCACTGAAGGATTTAGACTAAGGGGACCGGTGGCAGTTTGGTCACCAGCAAGGTCAGAGCCCCTCCCTCGATCCACTCCTCCCTCCTGGATAGGAGGGCCACTCCTTGGGAGAGAAAACAGGGTCCTTGGACACAGGCGGCAGTGAAGAAGCCCAGAGACAGGCTAGAAGGGCGGGGAAGCTGGCAACCCTTGATTCCAGGCTTGGGTTGATGGCCTTTGGCACAGTGTTCGAGGCTGCTGTGGTTCAAATCCTGACTTTACCACTTTCTCACTGTGGGTATCTCTCTGGAGCCTCAAGCTTTTTCTTCTTCCTTTTAAAAATAGACATTATTTTTTAGCGCAGGTTTAGGTTTACAGAAAAATTGTGCCAAAAGTACAGAAGGTTCCATATACTCTCTCCCTCCCACCCCTATGGTTTCCCCTAATATTAAATATTAACATCTTACATTAATGTGGTACATTTATTACAATTGATGAACCAATATTGGTACATTATTATTAAAGAAAGTCCATAGTTTACTTGAGGGTTCACTCACTGTGTTGTACAGTTCCACTAGTTTTGACAAATGCATGTCGTGTATCTACAATGACATCATTCAAAATAGTTTCACTACCCTAAAAATGCCCTGACTGAGCCTCAGTTTTAACATCTCTAAAATGAGTGTGAAAGTCATCTAAAGCCCCTCAGTCTCCCATTGTAGGTTTTTAATTTAGGCCTTTTGACAAATTAAGTGGTACTGAAATCAACTAAATGTTTCTCTAAATGTGGTCAGATGTCCATCAGAATCACTGGGCTTGGGTTGAGGTGAAGAGGTCCTCATTCAAACATTCTAGGGTCTCAACCCCAGACCTGCTAAATCAAAATCCCAGGGGCTGGGCCCAGGAATCTGCATATTAACCAGGCCCTGGTGCATAGGGAAGTTTGAGACCTGAACAGAGTTTTCAAAACTGAACAGAAGGATCCAATCCGTTGTCAGGTTAAAGCTCAGGAGAGATGTACAATTCCCAAAAGGGGGAAGGAGTAGAACCGTTTTCCTGGAAAAAGCCCATTTCTGCCTTCTGCAGCTCCCAGTCAGCAAGCCTGCTGTTTCATATCTTGATTGCTGATCACTCACCCAAAATAACCTGCATGCAATGTCTCACCAGCTGCAGCTCTCTCTGCAACTCCCTTAATTTAGCAGCCAAACACGTTTGGCTCCACAACAAAGGGGCTCTGGGATGGGGCCCCTCCCTCATGGCCATCTGTAGCGGGCTGAAAAATGTGCCCCCAAAATTCATGTCCACCCAGAACCTCAGAATGTGACTTTATCTGAAAATGAGATATTTGCAGACGTAATTACTAAGGATTAAGATGAGATATCACACTGGATTAGGGTGGGTCCTAAATTCAGTGACTGATGTTCTTACAAGATCAGCCAAAGACAGAGATACACAGAGCAGAGAAGGCCCTGTGAAGACAGAGGCAGAGACAGGGGTGACGCAGCTATAAGCCAAAGAACACCAAAGATTCCAAGAGCCACCAGAAGCTAAAAAGAGGCCAGGAGGGATTCTTCCCTAGGACCTTCAAAGGGAACATGGCCCTGCCAACACCTTGATTTCAGACTACCAGCCTCCAGAACTGTGAGAATAAATTTCTATCATTTTAAGCCACCCAGTTTGTGATAATTTGTTACAGCAGCCCTAGCAAACTAATACACCATCACTGCCGTAGACTCCTGCCCCAGTTCAGCCCCACTACAGCCATGAAGGTAAGGACCCCACACACAGGCGATTCTCGAGATGGGTGCTTTAATATGGCCAGTTATGATCATAGCTATTTTCTCCCAACCAACACCTGAATTCTGCATCTCCTAGGCCTGTTTCCTACACAAGGACAAGGGTCCTCTGTCCTCTGCTTGGAATGCTATATAATCCAAGACGGGTTAAAACTTCAATAAATAAATATTGGTCCCAGGGGCAGTGCCTGGCTGGTGGTACCATGTGGCCATTCCTGGGCTCAGCCGAGGGTCGGGCTAGACGGGTCACTGCAGCTTCATGCCACTCCGGCGCCGAGAGTCCTTCCGGGCGATGGGGCTGAAGTTCACAATCTCCTTGTAAATGTGCTCTGAGAAAGACAGGATGGTTCAAGGGGTAGGGGTTGCTGAGGGCAAGAGAGAGCCCCCCTCTCCCAACAGACATAGTGTGGAGCAGAAAGTCAGCTCAGCGCAGGGAGAAAGAAGTGCACACAGGAGACAATATTCGCTCAGAGAGAAAGAGGTGATAGTCTCCAGGAGGGAGTTGGGACCGGCTGAGGGCAGGCAGGAAAACGAAGCAGGCAGAGGAGAGGGATGCTGCAGGCAGAGAGAGGAAGCAGCCCGAGGCCCCGAGCCCTTACGCTTCCATCCATCCACTGTGAGTTTCTCCTGTTCTAAGAAATCATCAAATGGCTGATGGGCCTCTGTTTCCTCCTCAGGGTCCCGGCAGGATTCAAAGAAGGGGTGGGTGAGGGCCTGAGAGGCGGTCAGGCGCTTGTCCATGTCCAGCTCCAGCATCTTCTCCAGCAGGTCTGCAGCTGCGGTCACAGAGTGTGAGCCTCACACGCCATGGAGAGCCCGCCCGCTGAGACAGACTGCAGGTCCCAAGACTCACCCTGGGGGCTGGCATGCGGGAAGAGCTGAGAGAAATCCTTCTTGGGGATTTGTGGCAGGGACTGGATGTAGGATTTGGCCTGGAAGACAGAAAAGCACTGAATAATCCCCAGTTGTCAGCCCCTCAGGGCTTAGGCCATGGGGTATAGAGCAGGGACCCCAGAAAAGCCCCTGAGCAGGGCTGAAGGCTCAGGTCCGAATCCAAAGTGAGATGAAGGCAAGAGCCCTTGCCAGGGCAGAGGGGAGGCGCAGCCTGCAGCCCCCCTGGCCCTGGTCAGCCAAGCGCACAGCCCTGGCCAGCCTGGGCCCATCTGCCACTCACCGCTTTGTCATTCAACTTCTGCACAAACTCAGCATCCGGCACCCCCGTCACTTTCAGGATCTGCGTCAGCTGGTCCAGGTCTTGGCAGCAGGTTAAGGCTCAGCCTCACTCCCTGTGGGTGGGTCTGAAGCTGCCCTTCCTGCTGCCCCTCCATCAGGCCCACCCAGCACTGTGGACCATCCAGGTTCCAGACACTCACCTCCTCCTGCTTTTAAGAGGGGAGGTTCATCCTTCAGGACTCAGGTCTCTGGAAGGCTTCCTACCTGCCAGGCTGGGTAAAGGGTCCCTCCCTACAAATGCTCCTGCATATGCCACCTTCCTGGCCTCATCCCGCTCAGTCACCTCCATCCATTTCTTTGTGTACTCCCCCCCCACACCCTCGCACTCTGAGTTTGGCAGGGAGACCCACATCTTCTCCTTAATCCCTGCACAGCACACACAGGTGCCCAGTTTCAGGTGTGTGGTGCCAAAACGTCAAGTATTTTCTGCATTTATGTGTTGGAATGACAGGTGACTAGTTTTCATCACTTTGCTTCTCTGTACTTTAAAGTTGTTCCACAGGGAGCATGTATCACTTTCACATTAAGAAAAAAAGAGAGATTTAAATAATAAAGTGTCTGTTGAAGGAATGAATCCCTGGATGCAGTTTGGCTTTTCCAGCAAAGGATACAATCTTTCCCCTTGAACAGAGTTTTCCCCGTCAGCATCTCTGCCATGATACAGCCCACAGACCAGATGTCCACTGCAGAGGGAGGGGGAGGCAGTGTCACCTGGACCAGCTGACCAAGACCCGGCAGTCACCAAAAGTCAACCCAGAGTCACCAAGACAGCCTTGAGGAAGCTGTCAGAGAAGAAGCCCAGCCCTGTCCCCCTCCCCCGGGCAGTGGACCACTGACCAGTCTGGTTGTAGTGCATCCAGCTGAGGATCACCTCAGGGGCCCGGTACCAGCGGGTCACCACATAGCCAGTCATCTCTGCATCTGCTTGCCGTGCCAACCCAAAATCCAAAATCTATGGCTCGGGGCACATAGGAAAAAGGAGCTCGCTTAAGAGAGGCTCCCCGAGCGGCTTCCGGGGGCTCCTATTGGAGAGGGGCCCACCCCAACCCCAGGCTGACCCTGCCTGGGCCCACTCACCTTCAGCTCACAATCCTCATTGACAGCAAGGTTGCCTGGCTTCAGGTCCTAGATGAGACAAGAGATGGAGCACTGGGCAGAGGCAGAGGTGGGCGCTGTCCCCACTCGGCTGCCAGCCAGCGTGTGACCTTGGCCAGGCCCCTGCCCCTCTCTCTGGGTTCTGGTCCCCTGTGCAGAATGAGGGTTGGACTGGGTGTCCTCTAGGGCCCATCCAGCTCTAAAATGCCTCTTGGAGCCTGAAACGCCCAGCTCAGGGCTTGCTTTGTTGGCAAAAATTTCCCAGAAAGTTCCCCAGAACACAGCAATTCTTCTGAGCAGGTCTTCCTGGGCCAAGCCTAGATCTGAAAAATCCACTTTCCCTGCTTCCTCCACCTCCTGGAACCCCCTAACCCTAACCCTAGCCCCCAGGGGTGGGCAGGGCCTCTGAGGATGTAGCAGAGAAAGCACTCACCCTGTGGATGACCCCAGCTGAGTGGATGTACTGTGTTGGGGAGAGAAGAAGAAGGGTAAATCCAGTGCCCGGCTTTTGCACCAGGTGTTGCAGGCTGGCTCAGAGATCTCCTCTGCCTTGTCATGGTGTGCTCTCCCAGCCTTCAAGGTCTAGCCTCCCCCAAACCCCAGGTCTCAACACCAAGCCCCCCTCCCCTGCCATTTTGCAGGCTCCCACCCACCTTAAGACCTTTGAGCATCTGATACACCAGGTACTGGATCTTGTCCTCACCAAACTCCATTCCCATGATCTTCTGCAGGTCCATCTGCATGAAGGGCATCACCAGGTAGCTGCAAGTCATGAGGACTTCTTGAACATCCCCAGCCCCACCCAGCTCCAGGTCTGAGCTCAGAGGAGGGCAAGAGGCTGGGCAGAACAGAGGCCTTAGGGATGACCTTCATGTGCAGAAAGAAGCAGCCCCACCACAGCCAGCCAGACCCGCATGCAGTGGGCCTCCTGACTCCTGGCTCCCAGCCTGGCCCTGGTGGCTGCCCTGTTGGCAGAGCTCAGGGTACGTATTTCAGCTGGAGCTGTGCTCAGGGAAAACAAATGGAGCAGTGCTCCCTCTCTTCAAAGGTGCCCTCTGCTTGCCCTCCTCCACGCCCCACAGAAAGCCACTGCTGTGAGTTAGAAACATTTGCCGGTGTTTCCTTCTGCTTCTGTACAAATATTTCCTCCCCCAGAGGGTCATGCCCCGCCAACATGGCTCCTCAAACATACAAAAATGTCCTCCTTCCAAGAAGGAAACAATAAAAGTTTCCAGGAGGGTGAAGAAGGAAGAAGGAGGTAGCTGAGCCAACCCGCCCTCTTATGGGATTGCAAAACAGGTGGAAGTCAGCAAAATGTAACTGTTACTCAAGGCAGTAATAGCAAAGTCCAGAACAAAAGAGGATAAAGATTTAGGAAGGAATTAAAAAAAAAAAAAAAAAAAAAAAGGATGTGGAGGCCATCTCCCTGAGCCTGTGACTTTTGAAGTCTCCCCCCACCTGACCGCACCCCCGCTTCCCTCCTCCACCCCCCCAGCACAGGGACCCTGCTCCATGCACAGACCCTTCCCCACCTTTGTGTTTCACCTCTGCGTGGACCCTGATTCTTTCTTCTCAGCTGACAAACTTGCTGAAGTCTCTCTGTGATACAACCACCTTCCCTTGCTTAACCTTGTTTCTTCAAGTAACCGCCCGTTCTCTCTCTTTCCCTCCCGATCAAACTTCTAGAACAAGCGGTCCTCACCTCTTGATCCCACTGCCTTAACATCCAGTCCCCTGATAACTTGGCATCTGCTCCCACCCCACCAGCCCAACACATAACACCCATGGCTCCGGCTCTTTATATTCAAAGTTTTGCAAAGCCTGACACTCCCTCAAAATTCTCTGCTGCTTCTACCTCTAGTCAGGCTCTGTCTGTTCATCCTCTTATACCTTTTCTTTAGTGTTGATACCTTTTTTTTGGACTGCTCCGGGTCTTAGTCTCAGCACACAGGATCTTCGTTACAGCGCGCGGGATCTTAGTTACGGCATGCGGGCTTAGTTGCAGCATGCAGGCTCTTAGTTGCGGCATGCATGCAGGATCTAGTTCCCCAACCAGGGATCGAACCCAGGCCCTCTGCACTGGAAGTGCAGAGCCTTAGCCACTGGACCACCAGGGAAGTCCCTTTAGTGTTGATACCTTAATGAACAGTATCGAATCATGTTCTACACTAGCCTGTCCCTGGGCTTTGGCTATCATCCACTGGTGATTATTCTGGTCCAAATCCACATCCCTAGCCCAGACCTTCCTAAACTCCAGGTTTATTTGCAACTGCTGATTAAACACTGGAATGTTCATAGGCTTTTCAAAAATGAAGTGTCCAAAATGGAGCTCACTATCTTTCTCCCAAGATCTGTTTTTCCTCCACCTTGTATTCTGAGCAGGAACCTGGCACCCCCTGACATATGCCACCTCTCCCAGCCACTGCATCACAAGGGGTACAACATTCTGACAGTCCTGCCTCTCGATGGGTGTCAAGTCTGCTCTCAGGACTCCATCACCTCTACTTTATTTGGATCAAGGTTGGGGTCTTGAACACTACCCTCCAGGTTTCCTACCTCCCAGAGTTGCTCCCTGCTCCTTTCTTGCTGCCGCCAGAGGGTATCCCCAAAATCTGATCTGACCACATCACAGCATCTCCCTGCTCAAAACCTCTACAGACCTGAGGATGCCTGTAGGATCAATTCTGGTCTCAGCCTGACCAAACCAGCCTCTGGTCTCCACTAGCCACACTGCACTTGTCAATACTGCCCAAACGGCCCAGCCTCTTTCAGGCATCATGGCCTTTGCCCATGCAGTTCCTTCTACCTGGGCTCCCTTCAGCCCCTTCTACCTCAGGCAAATGTCAACTTATCCTTCAGGACTGAGTTCAGTTTTCTCCTCTGTGAAGCCCGCTGAGGCAGCTTGCAATTTCTGGCTCTCTATCCAGACCTAGAGTACTGACCACAACTGTCAGTATTCACTACTGTCAGCCCCCGAGGTCCACTTTAAATTCCCAATGCTTGGGCTTCCCTGGTGGCTCAGTGGTTAAGAATCCGCCTGCCAATGCAGGGGACTCGGGTTCGAGCCCTGGTCCGGGAAGATCCCACATGCCGCGGAGCAACTAAGCCCGTGCGCCACAACTACTGAGCCTGTGCTCTAGAGCCCACGAGCCACAACTACTGAGCCTATGTGCCACAACTATTGAAGCCTGCGCGCGTAGAGCCCGTGCTCCACAAGAGAAGCCACCACAATGAGAAGCCCGCTCACCGCAATGAAGAGTAGTTGCTGTTCGGGGCAACAAAGACCCGATGCAGCCAAAAATAAATAAATGAATTTATTTTAAAAAAAAATTCCCAATGCTAAGCCCAGCAGCTGGCATTATAGGGAAAAAAACCCATTCAAAATCACGGCATTAAATTGAAAACGAAAGCATCCTAACAAAGAGACCTGCAGCTGCATTTGAAACAGGACTGAAAAAAAAAAATCCACCTTCCCAAAGCTTCCTATATTTTACACCAGGTACTGCGCTAGCAAAGCCGTGCATTTAGCAACTAAATTTTCTCGTTTTATGTGACTCTGATAAACATCCCATCAGCTAGAGGTAGCCAAGGCTTCCTGATCCTCGCTTCATGCTAGGAAGAGCCCCAAGGTCCAGATCCACACCTGCGTCCCCAGGAAATGGTGAGGTAGGTTGATGCAAACCCTGTGGGGACTGGCAACGATGTCTCTTTGGTGGTAAAGCTGGGTAAAGCAATGCAGATGAGCAGACAGCTCTGTGTCAGGCAAGGTCCATATAAAGCCCCTCCCACCTCTTCCTGCCGGCCTTTCTCTCCACCCTTGGCTGAAAGAATCTCTCCACAGCCCAGAGGCACAGGGACTCCTGGGGCAGGAAGGTCCCCTACCCAGAAGAGAGAATCTGGACCCTCCCCTTACTTGCTCCCCAGTGTCAAGTAAGGCCTGCAAATGTCCTGGAACCCAGCGCAGCCCGACTCACAAATCATGAAAGTTGCGCAGGGAAGAGGCTGGGGTGAAGACATCCAGGAGTCCGATGACCTGGGGAGAAGGTTGCCAGTGAGGACTGGGCAGCCGCTGCAGCCCTCTGCTCCCCTCCTCTGGGGCCCCAGGCCTGCACAGGACCACCTGCCCTTTCCTAAAACACCATCTCCAGCAGGAGGCAGGTTCCCAGCCTTCCGGGAAGCAGTAAAAGGGGCAGAGGTGGAAGAGGAATTCCTCTAACTGGGAGGGAGTTTGCAGTGCACAGTGATGGAGAGTCAGGCTGGGGAGAAGGGGAGGTGGACACTCCTGTGCTCACTGACCCGAAGTCTGGTGTTCCGGACAAGCAGCACAAACCCACTCTCAACTCAAGCAGGGAACCACAAGTGGTGAAAGGAATCAAGGAGGAAACAGAGAAGGGGTCTTCCAGCCAGCAGGCTCCCTGCCCTTGACCTTGGGTCTCTCACCACATCCAACCTTACCTGCCAGGGGGCTGGTTCAGAGCTGGGGGCAAGATTACCCTGGCTGGAGGCCATGGGGAGGGGTTTGCTGAAGAGGAATGGGGCTTAAAACGTGAACAATATTTTGAAATCATTATGTTAAATGCTTACCTTCCAATCTAGGTATCCTGCAGAAAAGCCTGGGCTCCAGGCCCAGCACTGGGTCATTAGTCTTCCTGGCTGTTTCAATCAGACAGGGTAGTCTAGAGGTCAGGCACTGGGGCCTGGAGCCAGGTTGGGTAGGGTCAAATTCTAGCTCTGCCACCGACTAACCATTTAACCTGTGAGTCTTTCTGTGCCTCAGTTTCCCCATCTGTATATGGGGGTAATAGTACTTATGTGATATTGTGAGGATTAAACAAGTTAGTTTATGCAAAGTTCTTAGAACTGTGCCTGGCACATAATAAGCGCTCGTAAGTATCTATTATTCTTGTTGTTATTATGTGGAAACAACACTAACCAGGATTCTGGGCACCACCTCTTAGATCTAGAACAACTACGAAGTTCCTCTGTGCCTATTTCCTCATAACAGTGAGACAGTAAGTTCGCACCTCACCGAGTTTGTTCTGCTCCGCTGCCAAAAATTCCCTTTGCACCCTTCCTGGGAAGTAGGCAGGGTGGGTCCTGGCACCTGATTTTAATAATTAGGTGAGGAACAAGGATCAAAGGAGCAGGGAGGAGATTCCCCTTCTGCTGGCCCTGTTATGAGTTCCCTGCACCCTCGTGGGCCATCTCCTGTGTGCGCCACACACACACACACACACACACACACACACACACACACACACGCAGGGGCCTGGTCAGGACCCTCTGTGGGGCTGCCCTCCACTCCCTGCCTCCCAGCAGCGGCCCCCAGGCCCAGCCTACGTTCTCGTGCTGCATGTGCTTCAGCAGCAGCAGCTCGCGATAGGCCCGCTTGGCGAAGATCTCAGACTGGAAGGGCCGGCTCAGCTTCTTGATGGCCACCTTCTCCCCTGACTGCTTCTCGATGGCTGAGCTGTAGGGTCAAAGGCAGGTCAGCAGCCAGTGGCTCCCCCTCACAACCCTGGGACTCCAGATCCTGGGTGGTAACTTCCAGGCCAACTAGGAAGCTATGGCCATCCTCACCCCAATCCCTCTTGGCCAGCAGTCTAAGCTGGGAGGAACTGATGCCCACCACCGACAGCACAGTGGAGCTGGGAGAAGGGGGAGACAGCAGGCAGAACCTGAGAGAGGTGCACTGCCCCTGGGTCAGACACAGCTTAATGCCAACAGGATCCTGAGCAACTTGGCAAGTCACTTCTTGTTTGGGCCTCAGTGTACCCATTTGTAACAATGGGGATTCGCCTGGATGAACTCTGGGGTCCTCTGTAAGGTTCAAGTCCTGGAGAAACAGATCCAGTCCTAATTCAACCCACAGAAACTCCCACCAAGCCGGTAAGAAAAGAGAGATGGCGCCTGGAGTGGCCCTAGGCCAGCCACCAGAGCCTGAGGCTCCTTCTGCTGCTCTACTTCACTGCCCAGCTTGCCGCTTCCTCCCAGCTCCAGGCCTCTGCCCCGGAAAGGCACCCGCGAAGTTCTTCCAAGCCCGCAGGGCTCCGGGCCTTGGGGTCCTCCATCAAGGTGGTGGGCGCACAGCCTCGAGCACCAGCAGGAGAGGCGACACCGGAGGCGGGTCCGGGAAGGGGGCATTGGCTGGGCCCCGGCTCTTCCGGAGGCTCCACCCGCGTCCCGGTGCCTGGGCGCCCACCATAGTTCCACCCCGATGCCCCAGGCACACACCGCCCCCCCGTGCCCCCACGCCGGCGCACAGGCCCGGGGGTCTCACCACACGGCGCCGTAGGCCCCGCTGCCTACGTGCGTCAGGGACACGTAGGTCTTGGGCAGCTCCCAGGCGGTCTTGTTGACGTCCTGCTTGTAGAAGCCCTTTTTCCAGGTGAAGTTCATCCTGGGCACTCAATCTCGGCGGCCCCAGCGCGATGGCTACGTTCGCGGCCCGCCAGGCTCCCAGCACCCGCCCCCGCCCCCGCCCGCGGTCCCCGCGGTGCCCGCCCCGCGCCGCCCGCTCCTCCCCACTCTGTGCGAGGGCGGGGGCCCCGGCCGGCCCCGCGTCCCACTTGCCGGCTCGCCCAGGTGCGCCCCGCAGCCACGCCCAGGCCTGCCAGACGGCAACCTGGGGAGCCCGATTTCCGCCAGCCCCGGAGTTTGGCGCCCGGACCACGGACCAGCTAGAAGCGGCCGGTGAGCCGCCCTGCAGGGAAAGGGTGCTTCCCGTTGTGTGCTGGGGTGGGGCTGGGGGCCCGATAGACCCGAGGGGCTCCCACGGATGGCGGACGGCGGGAAGATACAGCCTCCCAGATTCCTCCAGCGCGGGACTCTGTAGGAGGATCTCCCCGGAGATTCTGAAGACAATTTTGGGAAAAAACAAAGCAAAACAAAACCCCACGTCTTTTGATTATGGAAAGTTTCAAACGTATACAAAAGTAGACAGACTAGCTCAGTGCTTCTCACATTTGAATGTGCACACGAATCCCCTGGGAATTATATTTTATTAAATACAGATTCTGATTCAGTAGATCTGGGGTGGAGTCGATTCTGCATTTCTAACTAGCTCCTAGGCTCCGAAGATCTCTGGACCACACTTTGATAGGGAGGTTCTAATGACCCTGCATGGCCCCAGTCCCACAGCTTCAACAACTACATCAACTCCTAGTCAGTTCTGTTTCCTCTACATACTTCCTCCCCCATCATTTTGTAGCAAAACCAAGCATCATATCATTTCATCCATAAATATTTTTTGTATCTCTGAAAGATAAGGATTATTTTAAAAACACAACTACAGTATCATTTTTTACACCTAAAATTAATAATAGTAATCCTGTAATAACAACTATCCAGTCTAGGTTCAAATTTCCAGTTTTGAATGTAGTTTTTGCTGGTTTCCTAATGCCTCATGAGGGCAATGACAAGCCAAGGCCTTCTGCCACCTGTGTCTGGTGGCTTGTGCGTCCTGGAGAAGATTCTGTGCTCAAATTAAATTACCGAGAAGGCCCAGGAACAGGGTCAGGTGTGGAGAATGGCTATAAGGGGTCCAGATGCCTGGCCTGGGAAGGGGATTGTGGAAGGGATGGGGACCACTTGCTTCACTTTGTCAACAGTAGAGAAGAAGGAAAGGAACTTGCTCGTGGCCTGCAGAAAGCTGGGGGTCCTCCCTAGAGAGTCTTCTGAACCCAAACCCTATGCCACAGCCCCTCCCATGCAGTCCTGCAGCGTCGGGCACAGCCCAGACGATTGGGGGTTTGGGGGAGGGAGACGCAGTGATCCCACAGAAATGCCCAACAGGCATTGCAGACGGGGAATCTGTCTTACGCATATCTGGCACACAGTAGGATGTGTAAAACTATATGGAGAATTAATGGAAGAGTCAGTCCATTAAAAGTGAAAAAATATTTATTTAATGGTTTGCCACGTACCAGTCATTATTCTAAGTGTTTTACACACACACCTCCCTTAATCCCGGTAAGAGTCCTATGAGTCAGTTGTAGTATTATCCTCATTTTAGAGATGAGGAACCTGAGGTACAGAAAGGTTAAGTAACTTGCCCAAGGTCACACAGCTGGTAAGGGACAGAGCTGGGCTGAAGAAGCTAAGACCATCTGGTTTGAGACTCCAAGGCTATGCATTGTCTCTGGGTTGAGAGGCATTGCTTCTTAAAGGAGATGGCCTGTGTTTCAAATTATCTGCCTCACCCATCATAAGGACATGTCTACTGATCAAACCATGTCTCCCTCATACATCCTGCCCTAGAAATCTGACATACTCCCCACCCTCTCCCCTGCCCCACCCCGTACTCCAGCCCTGAGACACTATAGTAGGAGAAGGTGAGGGGCTACGAGCCTGGGAGGGCTGCAGGAGTTTTGGGTCTTGGGGGTCGGTGGCGCCAGTGGAAGGCACTCTGATTCTGAAGTTGGGGCAGGATCCTGGAAGGCAGAGTCTAGGGCTGGACACAGGCAAGAGAGAGTCATCCGGGAGACTCAGGTTTCCTTCTGGATTGAGGATCCAGTTCTCCAGGGTAGGGATGGGCCTTGAGCCTCTGTGCTGTGTGTCTCGAAAACCTGAGTGTGGCAGAGGTGAGCCCAGAAAGGTGAGGAATACCAGGGAAGTGCTCATTGCCCAAATGGGTGCAATCCTGCAAGGGCATGAGCTGGCCACTCAGGTTGTGGCTCTGAATGCCTCTTAAGCAATGGTCAGGAAGTGACTCAGGCCTCAGACTCTGCTGACACTGACCCCCACCTCGGGGCTCCGCAGCCTTGGAGAGATGGCCTTGGGCGATCCTGTCTGGGAAGTCATGAATGGGAGAGGAAGAGGAGGGGTCACTGAGGACCTCCTGGGTGTCCCCTCCCACAGTCCCTGTGCTCTCTTCTCTTTCAGCTCCGAGGCCCCTCTGCTCTCCTCCTCCCAGACACTGGCCCAGTGTGGTCGGTTTTTGCCCTGTCAACGTCGAGGCGGGGGGTGAGGAAACCAACTTTGGAATGGAGACCTGCGTTTCCATCCTGCCTCAGCACTACCAGCTATGTGACCCTGGGCAAAGTTCCTTCCCCTCTCTGAGCTTCAGTGTCCTCCTTGTAAAATGGAAATGATATTAAAACATGATAAGTATATTTAAAGGGTCCTGGGAATGCTTCATTCCAAGTGCAGTAAAACAACAACCCAATGAGGTAGGGACTGTCAATGCCTCTAGCCAAAGATACCCAGAAGCACACCTGTGGGTGAACAAGCTGGGTTTGTCACTCACTGCATTGAGGCAGGAACATGCACGTGGGAACCGGGAGCGGGGGAGCGGGGTCTGTGTCTCAGTAAGAGGGTGTTGGAAAGGACTTATTGTAAGGTTTGGGCTTGCGTTAGGTAATTTGGTAGAGGGTATAAGGAAGCCGGACTTTGTTCCAGATGAGGTGCCATCAGGAAGTGGAGGTGATTCCGTGATTGGGTGTCTTAAGAAATCTTATCTGGAAGGACGGCCAACTAGAATGAGGAGAGAGCCGTAACTGGTAAAGCAGCAACCTTCACTCAGGGTAGCTAGATGGGGGTGTTTGGTCACGTTTGTGGTTTGGACAATACTCGTGTTTTCTCTGTGATTACAGAGTGTCTTGCTTTTGTCTTGATCCATTGTGGTCACAGATGGCCTTGTCTGCATTCAACGGGAGCACATCAAGATGAGCTGTGCTAGGCCAGCTCCGAGCAATGCCAGGGCCTGGCTGATGGGACTGGGCAGCTCCCAGGTGTCAGGATACCATTATTTCCCTAGTACAGATGGAGAAACTGAGGCCCAGAGGCATTAAGTAATTTGCCCAAAGCCATGCATGACCAAGAAGGTGGTGGACGTGGTCTTCAAACCTGGTGTCCTGCTCCAGAGTCTATACGCCTAACCACCAGTCAGGCTGCCTGGTGCCCAGCAAGTGCCTGTTCTTGTGGTGCTGTCTTCCTAGCGAGCCTGTGAGCCTCTGGAGGTCAGGGACATGGTTTTGGGGTTGCGGACTGACTTCTTAGAAACTGAGACAAAAGCCCCACATGATTATGAGGTTGGGTGCCCATGCTGGCCTCCCAGACTGCATCTTGACTCAGAAATATGGCAGCTCCTCCAACACTACAGTCCTCGCAGTCCCAAACATCAGGGCCAGCTACTTAAATTCTCACCATGATTGGCCATGAAGCCTCTACAAAAAGAGAAATTATGACCTACCTGGGGTCTCACAAGCATGAAACAGCAAGGCAGCCTGAGAGCTCTGGCCCCAAATCTG